GCATGGGAAGTTAAGCTACAGATTATTAGAGGAGCAACCAGTGGTAGGAAGGAGAACAGGTTAGCAAAGGGGGAAATCTCACGTCTTGGGGTACAAATGCTTATATGCTATAAATCATGGGTTAAACAGTTGTTGAAGAGATAAATGATTGACAAATTAAAAATCATGAAATTATGGGAGATTTTCTTCAGCTTCACAGAAAAAGGATTTGACAACTTGGGGAAAAATCTGGTAGAAAGGTGAATTTTAATTCTAGATTTGTGCTAAAACATCAAAAGACAAATTAAACATCAATCCCTTCAAAAAATAAATACAATGATAACAACAACACAACCTGCCAACAGTACTGCTAGGATATTTGGTGACCCATCATTTCCCACTTAATAAAATATAAGATACTCATGCTGGCTTTCAAGGTCACCTGAATCCAATCTGCCTTCTTGGCTATCACATGAGCCTGATGCTCACAATTGGATATCATTCTACAGGAATGAGAAGTTAGTAGTAAGTTCAGTTGGCAAACCTGGGCTCTATCTGAACATAGCTTTCATTGTTGCTTATGTACCAATCAGCATTAGCCTTCACATACCTGATTCTTGTTTGTAATAAAAGTAGGTTTTAATAGTTTGAGCCCCTGTCTGTATGTGAAGTGGAGAACAACTAAAGTCAATTCAGCTCTAGATACTCAGTTAATTACTGGAATAATGAAAACCGGGGTAAACAAGAGTAACGTATCAATGAAGGCACTTAATTACAACAGAAAGGGGATTGTAGCTATGATGGGTTTGACAAAAGGTGAAGTGGTACAGTGGATAGACATAGCCTCAGAGTTAGAGTGACTTGTCTCCAAGTCATCTGGGGCCATCTCCAGTTGTCCTGATCTATATTTTGCCACTTGACCCAGATGGCTCTGGAGGAGAAAGTGAGGCTGGTGACTTTGCACAGCCCTCCCTCACTTAAATTCACTTCACTTGCATGTCTTGGCATCATCTCTATGATGGCATGGTCCTCTTTGACAATGAAAGACAAACAATAACAACAATCTCTGATACACACTAACTATGGGATCCTAGGCAAGATCCTTGGCAAGTAACCTAACCTCTTGGTACCCCACATGACTCTCTAAGACTTTCAATAGAAGAATAGTTAGCAATCTGCATTGATAGGGGGAGTCTCCTTACTGAGAGTTCCCTACATCGATGAAATCATTGGCAGAAACCAAAAAATGGGGAGGGAGAGAATAGTAATACTCCTACTCAGAGACTTGTTGGGGAGGTATTTTGTAAAGTGCCATATACATGTGGATTATTGTTATTATTACCATGAGGAGTGACAAGTGGTGGGAAGGTAGCTGTTTCTCTATCTAAACATCTACAACAGTTGCCTGTTGCTTCTCAAGCCATATCTAGAAGTCAGAATGCAATCTATTCCTTAAAAATGATCATTTGGATACTATTGGAAGTAAGAAAGCAAAATCAGGGTTGAAGGCCCGTGGCACATACAAGTTATTTGGATTTGGGGCTGGAAAGGACTTTAGAATTCTTGTAGCTTAACTACCACATTTTTCAGATAGAGAGACTGAGGCCTAGAAAGAAGTGACTTGTCCAAAGTCATACAGGTAATATATTGAGGATTATGGATTTGAACCCAGATCATCTTATTTCTAATTCAATGCTCTTATGGAGTGAAGTTGGATGGATGATCCACAGAGCTTGTATGTATACACATATGCATATGTATACCGTATACATGATAGATGTGTCATATATATGACAAACACATATATTTATATACATTTATGTCAGACTATATGAACAGATAAATTGGGAATAGAATTATCAGGAAGAGGAGAATGGGCTGGATTGCTTTCAGAAAATTTCAAAGCTCCCTTAATAACCACAAATTTCTTCTAGAAACAAAGCCTCATCTTTTAAAAATCATCATATAAATTTTATAGTTGCAATATGGCTGGAAGATCTTAGTCTCCAAAGAACTCAAAATGCGTACCACACAGAGGGCATTAGAGAGGCATATGGCGCATGTGAGAAGGGTACAATATATAATAAATGAGGAACTTCTAAGAATAATAAGAATGAAGGATGTTATCAGAGAAATGTATGATAGAAAAAGATGAAGTTAGTTATGTGGCAAGGGGTGAGGAATGACATGAAGCTAGTCCACATTTTTGCTGGTATCCTCATATTGTTAGGAGACAGTGAGGAAGGACTAGATTCCAGCATGCTGAATGTATCCACTTCAGTGGATAGATGGGAAGATGAGGACAAGAATCACTCAGACTGGGCAAATGTGGATGGGTTGTGAGCTGGGTTGTTGGGAAAAAAAACACCAAAACATCCCCAATAGAAGAACACAGGTACATTTGAGTGTTTGAGAGGACTTTGGGTGAAATTCAAGGCTGAATTCTATTAAAATTTATTCAAGAGCAGACATTAAAATAACAATTCTGCGGTATCTGTGATAAGTAAAGAGAGTGCTGGATTTGGAGTAAAGATCCTGGGTTTGGGTTCTGGTATTTACAGTAAAATATTACCTTTGTGATCTTGGACACACTACTTTATTTTTCTGGACCTCAGTTTCTTTTCCTGTAAAATGAAATGGTTTGATTTGACTCTCTCTAGATTTCTTCTGGTTGTGAATCATAAATCCTATGAGTGGATATTTAAATAATCAACTCAACACCCCAAGGGCAAACAGAGTAAAGGTAGCTCACTAAGGAGAGAAGTTGATTAATGTTTCCTTAAAGGCGTGAATGTGTGTGTGTGTGTGTGTGTGTGTGTGTGTGCGTGCGCGCACGCGCGTGTGTAGGGTTTTTTAATAGATCGTGAAAATTTACTGCGTGAGTACATTTTGAGGCCAATAAGGCAAATGGAATTCTTTGCAAAGGTTGAAATCACTTAGTACGTATTTACTCCAGAAAAGAGCATGAAGCCAGACAGTATAGAGCTAGACCTTGGCGGGCATCTTATCTTCATCTCTGAATTCCTGAGATTCCTAGACAGTCTCCCTATGCACAAAGTCCTTATAACATCTTCTGAAGGAGTCAGATAAGCACAAATGCCTCCACTTATCAAAGCCTGATGGCTACAGAGGGCTCCCAACAAGAGGAAACACATCTGAGATCCCGAGCCGGAGATGCCAGAGTAGACCCACATCCACCTGGGTTCCTGAGCCTCAGGACATCAAAGATAACAGAAGGCCAGCACTTCCAGGGCTCCGAGGTTAGGAGCCAAGAGCTTGTTCCATAATGTAGGGTCTCTTCTAGCTGTGTCAGAAGATACCTTGGGATCAAGTCGTGGGGCTAGTTTGGGTAAGTTGGGTTCAGTCAGGCCTGGGGCACCCAAACCTTAGCTATTTGCTGACTCAGATAGATGGATAGATCTCCTTGTCTCTTCTACCTCCGCCTATATCTCTAGTTCCTTATTGTTTCCAGTGACAAGCTATGGGAGCTAATGGTGGTACCATGCTCAGTCATCCTGTAATCCTGGAGGATGGGGACTTGATTAACTGGTTCTTTCCTTCATCCTATGGGAGGGGGACACAAAGACATAGCTCTTGCTCCTCTTATCATTCAGATCCAGAGACATTGATTGAAATGACAATTCCTTCTCTGTCCTACCTCTCCCCAGTTCTCATCTCTTCTGCCTGAGCCTTATCCCTCCACAGCCCATATTCTCCTATCCCTTCACATTCCATTGTGCCCTCATTGTGAACAAACTGACCGTGGTCCTAGATCTTGCCTCATACTCTTTCCATCTTCTGGTGTTCATGAAAACCTGGCTTCCTTTGGTAACTCTGGTCATCCTCAAGTTCAGTCAACAAGCATATGTTAACTTGTACTGTGGGCCAAGCACTGTGCTGAGTGCTAGGGAAACAAATAAAGGCAAAAACACCACCCCTCTTTTCACAGGGATCACATTTTAATGGTGGAGAAGACAAGCAAGTAACTATGTACATTTGAGATACATACAGTGTAGATGGAAAGTGATCTCTGAGGGAAGTCAGGAGCAGTGGGAGGTGGGGATGGAGAATAGGAAAGGCCTCCTGGAGGAGAGATTTGAGCTGAATCTTAGAGGAAGCCGAGAGAGCTAGGAACTAGATGATGTGGAGGGAGAGCCAGTGAAAGGTCACAGAGTGGAGGTGGAGTAACAGAAAAGAGGCAGTGTAATTTCTAGACCCTCCCTTTGCCTTCATCACTCAGCCTCTCCTCCTTTGAAGATCATTCCATCTGTCTATATCACAGCCCGGAGAGGTTAAGTGATTTGCCCAGTAGGTGTCTGGGGTTGGATTTCAACTGAGGTTCTCGTCATGCAAGTCCCATTTGCTCTGTACACTACACTACCTGGCTGAAAAGACAAACTCCCCAACCCGGCCCATAAAACATCTTCCTACTCTGGCACCCACCTAGTCTTCTAGACTTTTTCCATATTATTCCCCTTCATTTTCCCTATTTTTCAGGCAAGCTGTACCTTTTTGTACTTCCCTGAAACTGGCCTTACATCTCTTGTCTTCGTACCTTTCTACAGGCTTATCTCTCCCTTCCGCTCTCTACCCCCCACTCCCACACACACATACACACCCACCACCACCATGCTCACCTCTGTCTCTTAGTCTCACTAAGTTCCTTCCAGGCCCAGCTCTTGAGAGAAGCCTTGATTTTTCTGAGCTGTTACCATTCACTTCTTCATTAGGCAATCTCCTGGAATTTACTCAGCTGTGGACATGTTACACTTCTCTTGTAGGACATCAGATCCTTGAGATCAGAAATTATTCCGTTTTTGCCTTTGTGTTTCTTGTGGCTGGCACACAGTGAGTCCTTAATGAGTGTTGGTTGAATTGAATCAAACAGATGTGTCATTAGGTGCTGCTTATAATAAGTGTTCCAGGCAAACAGTAACACTATATTTTAGGCCATTCAACAGGGCTAGTGTGGTCAGCTGTTTTCCCACTGGAGCTCTCATCTGCCTTCTTCACTCCCACAGCTTCCAGTGACTTGCCATAGGAGTGTGGAGTGGTGACGTGGCCAGGATGTGAATGAAGGTCAAAGACTTCTGGGCATAGCATTCTCACACAGCAGGCCTTGAACGTGGGCTGGAGTTGCCTTTCATCTGTGAGTGGGCTGTGGTTCATGAAATCAAGGTATACAGAAAAATAGACCCAAGGGGAAGAAGAGTTGTGAATAGCAACTGGTGACATTGAGTCATTCTTATGGCTGCCCTTGATGAAACTGCTGGGTTGTTTCCCGATGGCTTCCTCTGTCAGATACGCATATGAATGGGGACAGGTGACCCGATGGTATGGCTAGTCTTGCCATACACTTCCTTATCTGGGGAGCAATTACAACTGCCTGAAATGACATTTGTCCGAGGGAATATGGAGACAGCTGAAGAAATTATGTCTGTGCAGCAACTAATTTGCATTTAATTGTAATCGGCATTCATTTTGGGTCTTGGCAGCTGAGAGGCACAGTGTGTCTGTCAGGCAGGCACTTCAGCGGATCACAACGGTAACCAGTGAGTGTTTCCGGGATGCTAACTGCATTTGTAACAAGTGTCAGTTTGGCATACAAGCAGCATCCTTCCTCAGAAGAGTTAAACCATGAAAGATACATCAAAAACAAGGATGAAGCAAATCTTTGGGCAGCTTTGTAACTGCCCCCTTCTGGCCCCCAGCTCAAAAATGCTGCCTCTTTTTCATTCGTCCCCTAGCCCCAGGAATAGAACTAAAGCATCATTCCCCCCACTCCCTTCCCTTTAAGCTGGCAGAGAAGCAGTAGTATTTGAACAAAGGATGCTTCAGTGTGGGGCAACTTCATAGGCAAAGCTTAACACAAAGGATAAAGAAAAAAAAAGGAACCCAAATCCTTGTTGGGTTTGATTTCTGTAGTAAAATAAACCTTCGTTAATTATCAATTCGGTTTAAAGAAAGCATCTAATAAGATTCTATTATATGTCGGGCACTATGATAGGGCTTGCGATTCGAAGACAAACGCAACTGTCCCTGTCCTCACGATGCTGATGTTCTACCTGGGGTGGGGATATAATCGTACACAGATTAGTATGTTAAAAGTTCTCTGAAGAGAGACTGTGAACAACTGGGGAAGATCAAGGTACCCTGTGCTGAGGAGTTGGTACTGGAGCCTCGCCTCGCAGGAGTATGAGGATTCTGAAAGTGAGAATGAGATTCAGAGAGATATTAAGCAGAGTTTTTCTGGAAGAAGCCTGGGTATGTCTTTCATATCTCTCTTTCTCTCTCTGTCTCTCTGTCTCTGTCTGTCTGTCTGTCTCTGTCTCTCCCCTTTCAGAGTCTTCAGTATATTCTTTTGCATATCAGTAGTAGTGAGTCTTTATTCTTTAAGGGAATTTTTTTTTTTGAACAGGGACAAGCACTTTAGAACTAAGTTAGGTCAATAAAGTGGGTAATCAAACTGCATCATAATCTTCTGGGGAAAGATATGAAGTGACTATAGCAAATGCAACTAATTTCCTCATTTCTGTGGCCCATAGCCTGCTCTGAAGGCATTTCCAAGTATATAGTACCTAACACATAGTAGATACTTAATAAATATTTGAAGATTTAGTCAAAAAGAGGATTCCAAAAAATGTATTGAACAGTGGCAATTCTATTGGAGTGAACCTATCAGTTTTCAGTATGAATGGAACAATGCTTATTTGGATGTATAAGTCCTTGTATATATGGTGGCACTGTGGTATTGGAGCAAGTTTTCATTTCAAACTTACCACGTCTTCCACGAGACATCATTTGATTATTCTGAACTATATTGGGGCAGTGGTGTCAAACTCAAGTAGAAATGGGCTGCTAAAGTAGATAAGGATCCCTGTGAGAAGCATGTTGACTTAGAAAATCACATTAACATTGTCTAAGTTCTACTGTATTTTTCATTATTTTGTTAAATATTTCCCAATTTCATTTTAATCTGGTTCAGGATACATTCAGGAGTGTTGTTGGCCAATGTCTGTTTGATACTTCTGTTGTGGTATCTTTCTCAATTTTTGGGAATAATTTGTGTAGTATTGGTACTAATTGTTCTTCAAAAATTTGATAGAATTCTGCTGTGTTCTGTCATCAAGACTCACTGTTTAGTACCTGGAACTTAGCATGGTGTTTGATGAGGTCCTTCATGCTATCTTTATGGACAAGATGGAGAGATTATAAAATAGATAATGACATAGTTGGGTGGATCCAGAATCATAGAATAATTGGAGCGCTGCTTAGATGGTGGTCTTTAGGGGGGTGGGGGTGGGGGATTGGGAGATGGGGGGGTGGGTAGGTTTTGAATATTTCTATCGATGGGTGGGACAATGGCATAGATGGTGTACTTAGGAATTTGCAGATACTACTTCTGAGGGAAGAATGCCTAACTCACTGTGTGACAGTAAAGAATCCAATGCTAGGTAGACAGGTTAGCACAATGGGCCCAATCTAATTGGTAAATCTTATACTTGTCAAAAGATCAGTCTGGCTGTTCACCTTCTCCACTGGCTGAAGTTACATGCAAAATGGACAGTGAGAACACGTGCATTCCTGGGGTATGGGACAAGCAGAAGGATGGAGTCCTCAAGATACCAAGAATGAACATTCCCATTTCTCACAAATGAAATATTTGTAATGTACTTAAGCGCAGTGCCTGGTACACAACAGGTACTTAATAAATGCTTATTCCCCTTCCTCCTTCCCCTCTCATAGCTCATCTTTTATAGCATGACCTGTGGGTCTGGTACCATGCTGATCTGCCTCCTCTGAATATGTTCCAGAATATCAATATCCTACCCAATATTCCATCTGTGGTGTGACCATGGCCTAGTACAGTATAGATCCTTTCCTCTGCTTCCCTTCTATCCACCCCCAATAGGTGGAAGTAGAAGAGCTCAGAAAGTGCCCATTTCAGGCAAATGGTGTGAAAATAAATCCAATTAAGAGCCTCCCATCAGTGCTTCTTGTTGCTGGTATATATAATGTATGTGTTGGGGTGGTGGTGTAATATAATCCAGAGTCCGTCTCTGAATAGGCCTCAGTAACGGCCAACTCTGTACAGCATTAATCATTGCTCTCCCGTGATAGTCACTGGATCCTCTCAAGCTGAACTGACACGTTCCTGCTACCGCTATCTCTCTTCAGGCACTAGTTCACTCCCAAACAGCCACTGAAGCACCCTCCTGTTCTGAACCAAATCGTCAACTCCCAAGTCCCCCACACAAACCCTGTCAAACACTTCAAGCTTTACTCCGACACAATAATGTCTCCATCCCAACTCTAGCCTTCCCTTCCCACACCTTCCTTCATTAAAGCCAAGCCAGGCTCCAACCTCCAAGCTATCCAACATCAGCAGTGCAACCGCTTCCCAGAGTCCTTAAATAGGCCTAGAGATTTACGGACAGCTGTGTGCCCCCACACAGCTGTTCCTCCTATGCTAGCTTACTCAACCTCTGTTAGGGAGAGAAAAAGATAAATAAACCCTCTGTGAATCTACACTTTGAGGGATGTGGGTCTAACATTATGCTAGGCACTGCAGGTTATAAAAAAGAAATGTATGTAGATGAATATAATATAAATTAGACTGTGCTAAGTGCCTAGGAGGAATATAAAATGCTGAGAGATCAGAGGAGTGAGAAATCCTTTCCCTTTCTGGGAATCAAGGAAGACTTCAAAAGGAGATGCTATTTGAGCTTGTCCTTGAAGCAAGGACAAATAAGATGTTTACAGGTGAAGATTGAGTATGTGATCAGAGAGTATTACCAGCATAGGAAATGGTTTGGAGTGCATACCCTTTGACAAAGCAATACTATCACTACAAGGTCTGTACTCAAAAGAGATAAAAAAAAACCCAAAAAGGAAATGGACCTATATGTACAAAAATACTTACAGCATCTCTTTTCTGGCGGCAAAGAATTAGAAATTGAGGGGATGCACAATTGGGAAATGCCTGAACAAGCTGCGGCATATAATTGTGATGGAATACTATTGTGCTATAAGAAGTAATGAGCAAGACGCTCTCATGAAAACTTGGAAAGACATATGTGAACTGATGCAGAGTGAAACGAATAGAACCAGGAGAACATTGTATGGAGTAACATCAGTATTGTGAGATGATCTGCTGTGAATGACTGAGCTATCTATTTTCAGCAATACAATGATCCAAGACAACTCTGAAGGACTTATGTTGAAAAATGCTATCCATCCCCAGAGAAAGAATTGATGGAGTCTGAATACAGATTGATGCGTACTTTTTTACTTCCTTGATTTTTCTTGAGTTTTTTTGGTCTATGTTTTCTTTTACAGCATGACTAATATGGAAATATGTTTTGCATGACTACACATTGATAGCCTATATCGAATTGTTTGCCTTCTCAATGAGGGGAGTGGAGAAGGAGAGAGAGAATTTGGAAATCAAAATTTTAAAAACTGATGTTAAAAATTGTTTTTACCTGTAATTGGGGGAAAATAAAACACTAAATAAATAATTGAAAAACAAACAAAAGGCATGGAAGTCAGTTAATCTTTCAATAAGCATTTATTAAGTACCTACTATTTGCCAGGCACTGTGCTAAGCATGGAGACAAGAGGATAGGATATGTACAGAGGATGGTAAATAGTCGAGTTTGCTTAGATAGTAAAGAGTAGAGAGAGTAGGGAGTAGTAGCATGGGGGGGGTGTAGCATGTGAGGTGGTGAAGGGCATTGAAACCCAGACTGAGGAATTTGAGCTTTATTGGGTGGACAATGGAAAGCTATTGAAAGTTTTTGAGCAATGGGGGGAATGTGATTCCCTCTGCACATTGGGATGATCAGTTATATTGTGTCATGGAAGATGGAGAGGAGTGGAGGAAGACCAGAAGCCTGGAGTCCGGTAAGGAGACAACTGCAAGAGCTATTTGAATTGCTGTTTTTGTTGGCCATACATTTGAATTAGATTCTGCCAGTTGGAAAGCTAGTGTTGGCACTGGTAGTAACGTTCTTGTGCCCAGGCTGTCATATCATCCCAGGCTTTCAATTCATTCCTTTGCCTTTGCATCACAGAATTCCTTCAAAATTCAATTTGAGTGTCACCTCCTACAGGAGGCCTATCCTGCCTGATCTCCTACCCCTACCCCTAGTTACTAGCATCCTCTTTCCCGAATATCATTTTGCATATGTTTTTTGTACTTACTATGCTGTTCATATGCTGTTCCCTCCCACTCCCCCAATAGAATGTGAGCTTCCTGAGGGCAAGGATTATTTCATTTTAATCTTTGTTCACCAATATCTAGCACTCATACCAGCACACTAAACAAAGGCTTCTTGAATGAATAACTAGAGGATATTTCTTAAGGGCAGGGATTACATTCTGTCTTTTTTTTTTCTTTCTCATTACACAGGGCTGGGCATGAGGTAACAGAATAGGGGTTCTTAACCTTTTTTGTGTTATGGACCCCTCTTGGATCTGGAGAAACCTACAGAGTCCTCAAAATAATGTTTTAAAATGCATGAAATAAAATACTTAGGCTTACAAAGAAAACCAAAGATTCATGAAAATAAAGATGTATTTTTTCCCATCCAAGTTCATGAACTCCTTGGAATCTAGCCACAGTTTATTTGGGAGATCTTTGAATTCAACTTATAGAAGGTGATCACATGTTCTTAGTGCTTGAGAATCCTCCAGAGTACTGAAAATTGATCATAATAAAGTTAGAGTAAGTTCTTGTTGATTGATTATAATGTTTTTAAATTTATAAAGGACCTCGACATTCATCTCATTTCTTCTTCACAAACCCCTTTCCCATTATTCCCATTCTTTCTTCCTTTGCTCCAGTGTCTAAGGGAGAGGCAGACCTTCTCCTTGTCAAGACCAAGCCATCTATATGGGCCCTGGATTCTATCTCTTCTAGAACATGGCCTCTTTATTCATTCATTCCTTTTCAATTTCTCCTTATCTATTGATTTCTTTCTTCCCTGTTTATCTAGAAATGTTTTGTCATCCTGAAAAAACCAAACAAACACAAAAAGCTTCACTTAACCTTGTCATTCCCCCAAATTATAGTCCAATATCACTTTTCTCTTTTATAGCAAAACTCCTAAAAAAAAGTAGTCTGCACTCATTGCTTCATTTCCTCCCTCATCCCATGAACCTCATGACCACTGGCAACCTCCCTACTCCAATTACTCTCTCAAAGGCCTGAGACTATCTGTTGGGAGTGAAGAGGAGTCACACCTTGTGACGTCAGCTGAAGTTTCAGGGAGAGGACTGTTGGATGACCGAAATCTATAGCTGAGTTTGGGGTCTGTCTGATATCCAAGGGTTCTTTTGTGGTTTCTGTTTCGTTTTCTTTGATTGTTCAGTAGAACTTGGCCTTTGGTAACTTTGTAAACTGTGTGCTTATAGGTATAGGCAGCATACTGGATTTTTTTGTGGTGGTTGAGTTGTTTCAGTCCTGTCTGATTCTTCACAACCTCATTTGGGGTTTTCTTGGCAAAGATCTGGAGTGGTTTGCCATTTCTTTTTCCAGCTCATTTTACAGATGAGGAAACTGAGGCAAACAGGGTTAAGTGACTTGCCCAGGGTCACACAGCTAGTAAGTATCTGAGGTCAGATTTGAACTCAGGTCCTATTGACTTCAGGCCTGGCACTCTATCTACTGTGCCACCTAGCTGCCAATCATACTGGATAGTGTCAGGTATTCTCCTGGTTTTTTCTAATAGGCAGTTTGAATTCAGAGAATGGAGAAGTTCCCAGAAGTGAACGTGGGCCCTTTGTTCTATGAGAGCTCAGGATATAAGCATTATATAGATAGATCTAACTTGTAGTATAAATGGGGCACATTAAGATCCATATGATTGTGCCATCTTCCTTTCTGAACCAGAAAGCATGTTAAGACATCAGTGATCAGAACCAGTCCTACAAACAGGCAGAGTATGTGGCTGCCTGTGTCATGTAACTTGAAGGGCACTGAAATGTCACATCTGTTTTTATTCCTGACCTTTCTTTCACATTATCTGAAATCCCCACCATGAGTCATTTCTATGGATTAAGGCACTGTCCAGAGCAACCCAGCAAGCATTTTACTATGTGCAAGGCATCTTGCTTACGTATTGTTGCGTTCAGGCTTACATTTCTTTTGGGGGAAATCACAAGTTCATGGATAAATAAGTCCAGCACCAAAGCAAAGTGATTTGGAAGTGGAGAGGGCAGCTACCAAGTAAGGAGATACAGATGGGCCTCATGCAAGCCCCTGTTAAAATGTGAACGCATTACTTCAGAGTATTAACCCATTAACCCAACTCCAATGGGGGCCTGCCTCCTCTGCAAAGGGTAATCTTAGAGAGTTGTCTGAGCACAGAGAGATAAAATGATTTACTGAGGTTCATGCAGACATGATGTTTCAGAGACCAGACTTGACGTTCTGACTTTAAGACTGGCTTTCTACCCCCTGCACAGTGTTGCCTCTTATCTGTATGGGGGATTCCTCCTCCGCAGTGACGTCATGCCATGGGATCTATCTCCTCTCTCCTCTCCCTAAATTGAGGCTCTACTTCATGCCCTTTGCCCTGAGTGCGGTTCTGCTCTGTAGAGGGAGCTTCCTTCTCTGGAGTTCCTTGGGCCAGTGCCTTATCCTTTCGTCTATACCCTGCATCCCCAATGACAAACCAGCAACAACAACGTATAAGTAGCTAGTAATGCTTTAGTCAGATTTAGCATCTGGTCATTTAGCTACTGGTCATTTTACAGAGAGAAAGTCTCTGATAAAATGGTGAATATGAAAGCTATAACAAGAGAATAGAGTAAGGAAAGTTGAGGGATTTTGGACAATTTTTGGTACTTTTTCCTTATCACTCCTAGGATCTAGATAGAAATTCTTAAATTGGGGTACATAGGACCCAACAGGAGTCCACAAACTTGAGCAGGAAAAGCTGCGTTTTTATTTTTATCAACCTCTAATTGAAATTTGACATGTCTTTCAATTGTGAATTAAAAAGAAAAAGAAAAGAAAACTTTATTCTGAGAAAGAGTCCATAAGGCTTTGCCAGATTGTCAAAGGGTTCCATGACACAAAAGGAATGTTAAGAACCCCTGATTTAGACCAAAGGAGGTCACCACCCTCACTTTCTCTCCCACAGAAATCTTTCAACTTGATTCTACATGGGACTTCCTGTGTTTTCTTCTGATTTTATTCAAAGGTCTGCCTCGTTGGCCGAGCTCTTTGGAGAAGTTCTGGGTCAGTGAAACTCCTTGACAGAATGGAGAGCTTAAGAATTTCCAGGGAAATGAAAAAAGCCCAAACTTTTAAACTTTGCAAATAAACAAGAACATAGCTGCTATTCGGCAGTTGTTTGCCACACCCTCCCCCGCCCCAAGATGCGTTTTTAGCAGCAATAGAGGCCAAATGATTTCATCTCACAGGCCAACTATGAGACTCTCTTAGTCACGGACCCCTGCTCCTTTTGCGTTGGCCTGGTCTTAAACTGTAAAGCTTTCAGCAAGACCTGGCTTTTTATCCTGCACAGGAAATCTATCTTTGTGGAATATCCATGAAGTAATTATAGATAATAGCCTACGATCCAAGGCTTCTGACTTCAGCCACTTTGCTGAGAAATATGAATTCCCTATCTGCTACTCTAAGACCCCATCGTATGCTGTACTGGTGAATTGATAATGAATAGACTCCTTTAAAAAAAGTGTCTGATAGCAGAGGATCCTTTTTCAGTCTGACCAGCCTATAGAGCAGGGCCTTAGAGAACAGATAATCTTCAACTGAATTCAATGCAAATTGCAAATAAGATTACTAGTCTGTGGCCTAATCATCCTTTTGGAACTATGGGAATGTAAGAACAGCAAAAAAAAAAAATCAATGAAGGCAAGTGAAAAGCTGCAGTTAAAGAAGTAGAAAAATCTCCTGTTGG